TGTGTGTGTGTGTGTGTGTGTGTGTGTGTGTGTGTGTGTGTATACACATCCCATAGAGGCCAGAAGAGAGAGTCAGATCCCCTGGAGCTCAAGTTACATGAAGGTGGCTGTGAGCTGGGTAGGGAGGTACCAGGAACTGAACTTGGGTTCTCTGGAAGCAGTGTATGCTCTCAACTGATGAGCCATCTCTCCAGCCCCCAGGAAATCCCCCTCATTCTTAAAAATTTAATGATGAACTTATTTAATGATTATTATTTATTGACCGAAGTATTAATGCTACATTCATCCATAAAGTAATAATCTAAATTTATAAACATGTCTGATATGTCTTTATGACCACTCATCCAATGTTGTAGACTGCTAGTCAGTCAGAACTTCAGAGTAGAATTTCTGAGAAGCAACCAGAAGGTATGCCATATGGTGACAGCACTGACCTTAAAGTTTTCTGTGTAAGCTTTATTCTAGTTTTGAAGATTACGAAAACACTTGAAGATGGTGCCAAAGAGTCACTATTGGGCAAGTTAAGCTAGAGATTCTTATGGAGTGGTATTATTTTAAATCATATTAGCCAAGGGAAGATGGGGCTAAGTCTGAAACTGAATGACAGCAAATAGCACCAGGTATGTGAAGAAGAGAAAACAGGGTTTTGCATCACACAAGTGTCAGTAAAAGCCATGAGACTGGCCATTTGACACTGTAACCACCAACTCAAGTTTAAGACGGTTGACCCCACAGACAATAACGTCATATTTGATAGTCATTTTCTTCTGTGCATTTATTCAAAAATATATAGCTTGTGAAATGTAATTTTTTTCTGTTACAGGTCTGAACGAAGCACAAGTGATTTAAAAAAGATGTACTGTGGATATATAAATGGAATGTATGTTTACTATGATTACTGCACTCAAAGAAAACTTGTCATGTGTGAGAAGGCAGCTGATAAAGTGAAGATAGAAAGTGTGTTGAGTAAAATTCCAGGGGAAACCATATAGCTAAAGCCTCTGTTTCTCTCCCGCTAATATCCTGTCATTCAAAGTAACCAGGCAACATGCACCTTCTGCCTCCCATGAACACAGCGATAACTCTGCTTCTCCTAACATTTGTCCAGATTCTCTTCTGTCCCATTTACTGATTGTAAGACACTAAGTCATACATTATCAGCTGCACTATAACCCAGATACTAACCAGCATGAAGACAGCATTTCCTACTGAACATAGGAACCTGCGGCCAGTATAATATGCTCCTATTTTTTTCCAGAGATAAAACAAATTTCAATCTCCTAGAAAATCAAGAGAAAATTAAGTCCAGAAATGTATGGAAAGAACAGTACAATTCAAACAACTTGGATTTAGTCTAGTAATATAGGTTTGTTCTCATTTTGAAATAAAAACGGGAGAAAAAATTTCATCATTTAGCAGACATAGAAAAAGCACTGAAGAATACTCAACACCCAGTTGCAATGAAACTTCCTAGAGACTTTGAAGACATTGCTGTCCCCTGTAGCCACTCACTGTCAACCTGATCAACCCCACTGTGTTTTTTGATGTTGCTCCCAATGGTGAGCCCTTAGGTGGTAATCCTTCAAGCTATTTGCAGACAAAGTTCCAAAGAGAGCAGAAAAACCTTCATGCTCTGTGCACAAGAGAGAAAGGCTTTGGTTATAAAGATTCCTCCCTTCATAGATCTATTCCAGGATTCACCCTCCAGGGTGGTGACCTCACACACTATAGTGGCATTGGTGGCATATGGTCCTGTTAGCTTGTCCGTGGCAAATGCTGGACCAAACACAAATGTCCACATTTTTCATCTGCACTGATAAAACTGAGTGGTTGGCTGGCAAGTCCATTGTCCCTGGGAAGGTGAATGATGGTTTGAGCATCATGGGAACCAGGAAGCACTCTGGGTCCAGGAATCACAGGACTAGATGGACCATCACCCACAGGTACGAGGACAAGCTGATACTTTTGACTTGTGTGAATCTTCCCCACCAGATCGTTCCTTCCATAGCTCAGGAGAGCATCTTTCACATTTTCTGCTCAGTAGCCCAATAATCTTTGTGCCCTAACTTCAGGTCTATGGGTTCCATATTCTCCAAACAGCACCTCACCACCACCCCCCAATCTAGCTGGATTTCAGAGCTAAGTTTGACTATGAATAGAAATTAAATAAGAAACAAACTTCTGAGAAAACTAGAAGTAGATTCTCTAAGTATAATAAAGAATTTTGACACAAAGACAAAAGCTCTAAAGTCATAATTAGCACCATACTTCTAATAAGAGAATGATTATTATTTTCATTTCTAGAAAAAGATACAAATGGGCTTTATCAACTGTTTCATTAAAAATGTCTCTTATCCAGTAGAGGTCCTGGGACTGGAATAAAACAAGAGAAGGGCATATAAAATTTAAAGATTGGAAAATGAAGGAGAAATAAAACATTTATGTGTACAGAACATAAATTGTATGTATGAGATATAAGCTTTGAACTGTTGTAATAAGTTTTCTATCATGTCAAGGTTGCTATATAACGTGTCAACAAATAATCCATATTTCTGTACATTAGCAGCAAATCATTAGAAATAAATTTAAAAGTACAAGATTATTTTTGTCTTATTGTAAAATATTTTTATTGATTCTTTGAGACTTTCTTACATTTTATTTTAACCATGTTCAGACCCCCCCATCTCACCCCCACTTTTATACCCCTGATACTTTATGTCCTCTCTTTTTTATTAAAGACCTGGCAAGTCTAGTTTGTACCCCAAAATATTCTTTGGTGTGGGTCCATCCCTTGGAGTCTGGTCAGCCTGCCTGGCATCACATCCTTTAAAAAGAAGAATTCTCCCTCTGCTGCTCAGACACTATGAACTGCCAATAGATCGTCAGCTTTTAATAGCACACCAAAATATAAAATAGCAGTAAATCTTCTTAAAAGGCAGAACACCTCTTCAAGTAAATGCTATGTGCAATTTATCCCATCATCTTTCTTTCTTAGTGATCTCTGTATCTACTACAAGTAAGATGAGCTACTTACAGGAAAAACTGACAGGATAGAGGCCTTGAACCCCTGCTCCAACTTGGGCCTTTTGAAGACCGACTTAAATTTCAGTTTTCTTTTGACACAGCCAAATGCTTCATTGAGAATATATCACTTGTTAATTTCTCCTCCATAAAAAATGAATCTAGAAAATATTTTCCATATTTACACTCCTGCAAACTAATTTCTATTAAAGGACATTTTGGAGGGAACCAAACCTGCAATAATAGGCAGTAGGGATGGTCCAGGAAAACCAAGATGAAATGTGGAACTGATCATCTGTTATCCAACTGGCAATGAGAACTCCATAACTGAGTTAGGGAAAGAAATATTGCCCACACAGAGAATTACAGCATAATTGTTAGACATACACACACACAGACACACAGACACATACACACAGATACACACACACACACCACACCATACACACCATACACACATACTGCACACCATATATATAACACACATACACCCACACCACCACCACCACCACCACCACCACCACCATCACACCACACTGATGAAGCAGTAGAGTCAAGAAAGTTTTAGATGTATCAGGTGTTTGAGAAATATGGGTAGAATAAATGTAGTAGGAACAGGGAAACTAGGGATTTGCTAGCAACTTTGCCTGTTGACACTTTGGAGAAAAGGAAGGACTGCACATATGTAATCAGAGATAAAATAAAAACCTCAAAGGGTGAATGTTGCCAAGGTATTGAGTGAAAATGTCCACATCTCATCTAATTTTAAAACAAAGAAAGGCGCAGACTGCTTCCTAATAATATGAAGGGCAGAATATCAATAAATGTTAATAAGAAAGTTTTGATCTTTTTGAGTCTGTCTGGAAGGGATAAAACTTTTTTATGTTTGGGGGTGGGATGAGTTCCCCTCTTCCCTCAGAGTTGTCTGATTTGGACTATCACAGGGGATTGGATAATCCACACAGGGAAAAGGAAGCTGTTTGTCTCCTATCACAGAAGCGCCCCTTCTCCGTGGGAGATTTGAAGACCCCAGCCTACAGCTACCTCCAGTGGAAAAAGCTCACTTTTTCCAAAAGACTGATGCAACTATGGTTCAAGAGCCTGGGGAATAGTCTTGATCTTGGTGAGTGAGAAGCAAGATGTTGGCTATTCAAAATGTTTAAGTGAAAAGCGCATTACTTTACTGAGGGCGCGAGAGCATCTTTTCCCTGTCTGTCTGCCTGCCATGACTCTAACCCCTAATCCCTCATGAACAGGAGCCATACCACAGTCTATGAGCTCTCCTAACTTGTAATTTCCTCAGCTAAACACATTAGTCCATTACTTTTAAGTTCAGCCTTGAGTTCTCAGGACACTGGCAGAATGCAGCCAGATTCTCCACCAGAACATAATCAGAATAGCCTCTAGCCCTCACATCCCTCTGAAGCTTCATGAGCTGGGCCTCCACTGTCCTCATTTCTCTCACCCTTCTGGTCTTCCAAACTCCAAGCAGAATGTCCCATTAAACTCTGCTCATGCTCACAGGGTTTGAGGACTTTCTTTACTTAAACTAGAAAAGTAGTGAGGTCATCTGGGGTTTCAGGAGATGCTTTTTCTCTGCAGATTTAAAGAATAAGAAGGCAGGAAAAGCAAGGTCTCAGCACTCAGCCAAACTCTTCCAAATTCCAGCAACAAAGCAGTATTATGGGCAGATTTATCACAGCAGCAATTTCACTTCTGGTAGTAATTTTCTATACTAATTTCATGTCTTGTTGCTAGAACAAAATACTGGACAAAAGAAACTTAAGAAGGGTTTATTTTAGCTCACAATTTGAGGATACAGTAACTTACTGCCATTGTTTAAAGCAGGCATATGTGCAGCCTGATGTGGGTGCAGGCCCCAGGTTGCCAACAGCTTGCTAGGGGCATTGCTTGGAGTGCAGTATGAGTGCAGTATATGCAGGTAAGAGTCTCAGGCTGCCAAGTGTATTATTAGAAGAGGGGTGTGTGCATAGTCCAAGCCAAGCAGAATCCCAGGTTCTAAGCTATTCCCTAAACTTGGCTGCCTCAACTTCCCTCTGAGAGACTTTTCTCCTAAATTCACTAGGGGAATTGAAGGCAGAGGGCCATTCTTTGGCCACTGCTTCATGTTGAATAGGAGTGTAGGGCTGACTAGGGAAGAAACAGAATCTCCTATTCTTTCTTTCCCCAAGGCTGTGTCTTCTGGAGCTCAATTGGAGTACATCCAAGAAATGTCTTATACTTCTGATATAGGGTCAAAGATGGTCAAACACACTATGCTCATGTTACTGGAGTTATGGTCAAAATTTGTGTCCCAGCAAACCAAGTTCAGTCACCTGTCTTAAAAGAACCACATTAATAGTGAAAAGCAAAGTTTATTTGTTCAATGTGGCCACATGGGAAGTGGGAAAAAGAGATTCAGTGACACCCTCCCCAAGTCCATACTCTGGTCTTAATATGAGGGTAGGGTTTAAATAGAAAGCAAGAGATATGCATACTAATCAGTCCCATCAGGGTGTGGTCTCCTGGCCACCACTGTCTTGATTCCAAGTCTCTTCTGCAAGGTCAGTCTCTCTTGCAAGGTCATCTGACAAGTGGTAAATATTTCTCTGAGAGGTGAGTTTCTTTCTCTGGCAGACAAGTTCCTCCTCTGCTTGCCCCCAGGAATTTAGCCTTTCTTCTCCCAGCAGGTGATTCCTGGCGACATTTTAATTTGGGGGGCTGTGTTCTATTGTTTCAATAGTCTGAGAGCCAAAGAGAGGGTCACAAATGTCTTTTAGAACATACTACTTTCTCCCAGGATGACTGGTTACTGTTGCCTGGAAGGGAAGTCATTGGTGGGAGAAGCTTGGGATACTGGTCATATCTGCATCTGTACTCTGGAAGCAGAGATCAGTGAATTCTCAGTTTGCTTTTTCTTTTTCATCTGTCAAAGACCCCATCCCACGGAATGGTGCCTCCCACAGTTAAATGTGGCATTTCTTTTTTTTTTCTAAGTACATTTTTTTCTTTTGCTTTTTTATTGAGCTTTTAAAAATTCATACAATATTTCCCACTCAAATTTAGACCCCCTCCCCCATCCATGCCTCCTCTTATCCCCCCACCGAATGCTATGCACTCTGCCATATGTGCTGAGTCCTATTCATTTGGGTATTTGTACCCAAATGTCCTTCAGTGTAAATGTGTCTACTGGTCTAGTCAGTTCATCCAGTGGTATGTAAGTCATACTCTCCCTCACCCAGCAGCAATCAGTATTAAATAGTTCTCAATCTAGTACTGGCCCACCACCTATTTCTCACCTCTCCTTTGGGCCCTTGTTTAATTTAGCTGACATGATCCCAAATTTGATGCCACTGTTGCCATAGGCTCACATGAGCAAGCCTCCAGTGGCCTGGAAGCCTCCACCTATTTATGGTCATAAACCAGCCTTGGCTCTTACAATCTTCCCACCTCCTCTTCTGCAATGGTTCCTGAGCCGTGAGTGGGTGAGGTTCCACATAGGAGTCCCATCCAACACTCTATAGCCTTCTGTGTGTATCGTACTCTGATGTACGTGGAGCCTCATTGGTGAGAGTTGAGTGGTGCATTAGCCCTCTCTCTACTCTTGATTCCATTATGTTCCATGAGCCTTGGTTGTAGAGATTTGACTGCAGGTGTATCACCTAGTACTGGGCATCTCCCAGGTGTATGTTTTCTGTTCCTGACCAGATGTGAAACGCTGCAATAGTCTCCATATGTCGCAAAAAGAAACTTCTTTGATGAGTGCTGTATGGCATGCTTGTCCTCTTAGGGAGGTCTCTTCTATCTGGCACTGGGTTCCCTGGCAAGCAGCTCCCAGGTATACATGTACATTAACGTTCAGACACTCTATGTCATTTCTCATAGGGTTTCTAAGGCATTGCTTTTCCCTCTAGGTTTTCTAGCCCCCAAGATTCACTCATCACTTATTTCTCCCATCCGGCCTCCCTTCTCCCTTCTTTCCTAGTTACCGTTCCCCCATTATCTCCACCCTCCCCCTAATACCTCCCAACTCAAAAACAGTCCAACTCTTAACATCTCCTTCAAGGCCTAGAGTTGACCTGAACTGTGGAGAATGTATTCCTTCAGATTTCTCTCAGAGCTGTGTTTCCAAGCAAGGGCTTTGGTTCCAGCATGAAACGGGGAAGGAAAGTCAGAACCTTATCTTATCATAAAGTCTTGCCCTTTCTAATCCCTAGACCTAGACCAACACATGCACACAATGATAAACAGGTGTTATAAATTTATCACATTGCTTTCAATGAGATAAGCATGCTATATGCAGTATTTAAATGTTATGATATATAACATTCATACACTATCTTGAGTGAGGATAAGGACAGGTCCTGAAGGATTAAGGTTATATACCCAGGTCACAAGAGGATCACATAGCTCAGTGAGCTTGTTTACATTATAAGCAAGTTTAAGATAAGAAAACTCATTCCCATAGTTAAGATAGGTCTTCCCATCCCAATTAGCCTAATCTAGAATATCACTCAAGGGCATGCACAGAGCCTTAACTCCTAGGTGATTCT